AGTACACTGCAGGTTTCTCTGATCACTGTCGTTGTAAATGTGCTTTTTAAAATTCTATTATGTAATTGTTTGTGTAGATTGATGCCTCATTCTCTTGTACAGTGCTGGTATTGGTAGGACTGGAACATATTGCACAATCCATAATACCATCCAGAGAATACTGAGTGGAGATATGTCTGCTCTTGACATCGTTAATACAGTAGCCATTTTTAGGTCTCAGCGAATTGGGATGGTCCAGACCATGGTACAGCTCCTCCTCATTTTTTTTTGTCCTTTTCAATTTTCCAATATGCTTCCTTTTTGGCTTCATTTTAACTACCTACTGCTGATTATAAGACTACTGCAGGAGCAATAGTTTCTGATTTTTAAAGTAGCAGACCACATCCAGCTTTTTTCTGAGTTGCTGGTACAGAACATAGTGAGTTCATGTTAGTTAAAACTTAAACATATGGAAAGGGCTAAGCTATTGTTTTTAACCCTTCCGTAAACCCTCAGAGTATCAGTGATGCTAAAGGCTTGCTTGAGGTGTGTTTAAGTCCTGAAACTAGGTGAAGCTCAAGTTAAATGCATTGCATAGCTTAGATGGAGCTTTGGTGCAATTACCAAGGGACCAAGACATGTGCCTGTCTTTGAGGGGTAGCACTGTACAATTAAAAAGATGTTGGCAAAGTGATATTAATTGTTAATAATGCATTATGAGTGACTTTTTAGTGATTAGGAATAAGACTAAAAAAGAATTAGTATAAGAAAATTCTTTGTTAGAAACTTCACTGGATTTATCTCAAAAAAAATTCTTTGTTAGAAAAAAGTGTATTTTACATTTAAATTGGAAATTCATATTAGCTGTGGAACTTGATTGACATGATTTCATCTGGGACTTGATTGACATAATTATAGTTCTGTGTTTTCAATGTTTTTGTCCAAATAATTATCACTTGTATTTTAGGTTTTTTAAAACACCTTTTATTGATTTTCTTTGCTAAAGCCACTTAAAGCCCCAACACACCTTGGCACTTTTCTATGCGTTTCATTACTGGCAACTCGTGACTACAAGAATATTGGTCTTTTTTACTGCTCAGCCTTTGTAGAGGGAAAGGTCCATAAATCATACCTTCTGAGGACAAACATGTTCCATATTCTAAGCTAATCTTCTTCTAAATTTTTTAAGTATCTTTCACCCCGAGTATCTGTATTACTTTTTATATTTAGGGGAACCACCCAGCTTCCAAACATGGATTAGGATGTCTGGATGGGATTTTATAAAAAACATGAGAGATAACTGAACAATTAGGGAGGACCGGTATCTTACTCCCTACTGCTATATGAGTTGGACAGGTCCAACTCAGATACAAAATGCTCCTAATCGTCGCATTGCAACTACTTCTACACTCATCCTCCTTACAAGTGTAAAAGCGTAGTGTCTACTCTACAGTTAAGGGACTCCTCATTATCACAAGGATAATTCTATTTGACCTTACCTAAACTACTGTAGATCAGCAACCTTGGGGAGGGCTTGAGCGTGAACTTGTGACTTAGGTTCCTATGTTCTCAGTGATTCTCTTTTATAGTTGTTTAGTTTTATTACGCTTGATATCTAAACTCTATTATGTTCCAGGATCAATACCTTTTCTGCTATGATGCCATTATTGATGAACTGGAAGACCTAATTTCAGATGACAGTGGAGAGAAGAGTCTCTAATGGTAATTTTCACTTTTTAGGAAGTTCAATTGGTTGCTGCAGCAAGTAGAAGTACATGCATTGATTTTTCTACTGCAGAAATTTCAACCTATATACTCTGTAATCTCTATATCTTGCTAGTCATGTCCCGAACAACAAACCGCTCAATCTGTTGTCTTAACTTTTTACAGTAGTGGTGAGTTAACAAGATCTGGGATTCTTGCTCACAATGGGATATGAAACAGTAGTTATGCTGAGGACGCTAATCAGTTGGCTCTATTTGAGTTGCTTCGTCCCGCTCTCTTTGTGTGGGATCTCAAGCTGTTCAAGAGATACCTGTTGCTATTTCCATCGAGATGCGAACTCATTTGGATCCACTATTGAAATTCAAAGTAGCATGCCGATGTCAGAAGTATCCTTTGGCTGACTGAATATCATGAAGTTACAATGTTTGCAGATTCAGAAAATTATATTTCTGGTCTTCATGGTTTACCGTGTAAACACACTCACTGAACACTATACTCTTATGTTGTAACCTTATGCAGAGAGTCAACCTGCTACTTAATGATTATTTAGCATTGATATGGATTTGAAATGGTGTATGCTGAAATATTTTAGAGAATACGTGCATAGGGGAAGAGTACTTTGGGCTTGCAGAGGTGTGCTTAACGGATAAGAGGGAGTTATTTAAGTTCAATACTTTTTAAGTTTACAGAGTTTGACCCACATATATGTTTTGTATAAGTTAGGTTAGTTACACCTTAGTCTATTTTACATTTCAGCATTTGACATTTTGAACCCAACATAAGTTAGGTATAATGTTGCTTGGATTCTTCATAAGTGTCGACGGGTGTGTATCAGATACTCCAAAAAAAGTGCATTTTGGAGTATCTGATACGGGTGCAGCAACATATTGGAGAGTCTAAGCAATATAGGGTATTAGTACAGTAGAAAGGTTCCATTTCCAGATAGGAATAAAATAAGAAATGCCTAGTTGGCTTTTTCTTCCTTAGCTAGGTTATTTTCCTTAGCAGTCCGGGTAACTTTAAAGTCAACAAACTCTCCTCTTTCTTTAACAGTTTATCTTGCTCAATGTACCATTTAATCTTTTTTTTTTCTCTTGGATTAAAATCACCATTTCTCCAAGTCTAAACCAAGCTACAAAAGATGGCATGCATCTAATTTGTGCATCTTAAAACAAACCTTCAATTGTTTCTACCTTGCCTTATGGATTGCTTTATTATTAATTGTTGATGCACCTAATAGAGGCAATTTGAGGGTATACACCTCTTTCATTTTCACACAATTTCTTCGCAAGCGAGATGAGGTATTTCTTTTGGTTTAAATAGGGGTTGTCCTTTTTTTGGTCGAAGAATTTTTATTTTTATACTGAAATATAGTTACTATACATTAACGATCAACTGATCTCAATCATGTAGGAATTTAATTTCTCGAATAGTTGTCGATTTAGACATACATAAACCAAGTAAATAATAATTTAATTATAATAAAGATAGACAACTATATTGAATCTTTATGCTCATTTCAAATTACCTAAAAGGTATAAGACTTATAAAGTAGTTGTCAGATCAGTTATATATGTTGCATGAGGCGAGTGTTGTTGGATCAAAAACTTGCATGTTCAAAAGATGAGAGTAGTGAAACTAAAGATGTTGAGATGGATGTGTGGGCATGTTAGAAGGTATTTGAATGAAACAAAAACATTTGAGACAAAGTAGGAGTGACTTCCATAGTGGACAAGATGTGAGAGATGTTAGGGTTTGCATCAAATTTTCTACCTTATTTAATTTGAATTCTACTACAATTGTGCCTTGATCAAAAAAGTTTTCTTGGTGGAAAAGGTTTTCTTGTTGAAAAAGACTTCCATGTTTGGTTAATCCTCTTGAAGGAATTTTTTTGAATTTTTATACATTGAAGATTATTTTTTTCCGTAACAACATAATAACATCCACAATGTCATCGTTAAAGAATTTATTTAAGAAGTAATTATTTTCTTTATAACTTTAGTATTTTTTTTTAATATTAGTTTCTTATATGTAGGTCGCTTGGTAAAACAATATTAATATTTTGATTGTTTTAGTACAATTTTCTTTGTGGTCTAATTTATCAATGTCAAGAGTTACAATTATCAGCTTCCGCATGAGATTATTTTGACCCAACCAGAGGAGAGACTGAGATGGTTTGAGTATTGAAGAGGAGATGCATAGATGCCCCAGTGAAAAGGTGTGAGGGGTGGGTTATGGCCGTTATGAGAAAAAGGAAGGCGAAGTAATATTAGAGAGGGGTAATTAGATAGGACATGACACACTTGCAGCTTATTGATGACATGATCTTAGATAGGAGGATATATAGGTTGAGGATTAGGGTAGAAAATTAATAATAATACCTCCTCAAGATAATAATATTTCATGATACCACTTATATTAATACTCGACAAATTAATAATCTCTTTAAGATAATATTTTCTTTTGGCCCCGACTTGGGCCAATGGAAAAAATTACTCATTTCGATAAGATAATAAGATAATATATTTTCAGAAGTCCCTTGTGTAAATACATGGTCTCATTATTATTATAAATTAATAATTTTTTAAAAGTACAAATATATCTAAGACAAATGAATTATGATTCTATTGTTTTTTGTTAAAATTTAAATCTTATTGAAGTTCATCTCTAACTTTTCTTATTACATCTAAAAGTTTCAGTATTGTCTTTTTGAACTGCACCATAAAATTGTGAAGAGTTTTAGATACGTGTAACGGGTGTCAAGATTGTATCATCTTCAACTTCATCACCAACATTGTTTTTTTCGAGGGTATCATAATTTCTTCTAAATTCTAGACTTCTGAACATGTAACATTGTTCTAGATGTGACAATTGTTTTTGGAATTGCACCTTAATTTATTTATTTTTGTGAGTTCAATAAATATGATACATAAATTAGTAAGATACAATAATTTTGATGTAATCAAAATTAACCTTCATTGAATCTGAAAACACTCTTTAAATTAATAAATATTAATCTATCGATTAACTAATACCTCTATAAAATAATAATATTTCATAGTACCACCTATATTAATTTAGTGAGGTTTTATTGTATTAGATAATCAAATAGAATAGAATTGTATCTACGTACACAATATACTATCTATATATACACCACACTTGAACTTTTCTAAAGGTCAAATATTGACCCGAACCGACCCGGCCCGGATTTGTGGTCAGACCCGAATCCTAAACCCTTCCCCTTCCTTACAAAGTTCACCCCCCCCCCCCCCACCCACACACACTGGCTTGAAAGTTGTTCATTCTGCACAAGAACGAAAGAGAGCAACTTTTTGCTTTTAGCTGTTTCAGTCCAGCTCCAATGGCGAATGCAGAAGTAGAGGCAGTGGACTTCGAGCCAGAGGAGGACGATCTGATGGACGAGGACGTGGATGCCTCGTCGTCTCCTAGGGCTACAATTCCTAAGCTCAAATCTGCCATTACTGGAGGCTCATCCTCCGCTCCTAAGAAGACCAAGGGACGTGGTTTTCGTGAAGAAGCTGCTGAGGCTGACCGTAATGCCCGCATGTCTGCCCGCTTTGATTCTCTCGATTCTGAAGGCGGTCCTGGTCCTGAACGATGTCAGTTCCCTCCCTCTCTCTTTCTCTGTCTTATCTTTTCAGTACATTTTAGAGTTTTGAGAGAACGTTTTGGATTTTTACTCAAAAAATTGAAATTTAGGGTGGGTGATTGAGTGCATTCTAATTTATAGATAGTAAAATATTTACTTTAGCCAAGAGCTCACTGGAAAACAATGCAAGTGCAGCACTTCTATCTAGGTTTTAAGCATCCAAATTGTATTCTGGAAAAGGAACCAATTTAAAATTCAAAAAGTTTGGGATAGAGGAATAATGAATGGTAATATTGGAGTTGTGTTCTCAAAAAATATTAGGTTTGAGTTGTGTCTACTATGTGCAAGACCAGAAAAGAGATGAAGAAAGAACCATCCTACATTTTCCCGCTGTGGAAGTTGGTTCCTTTTTCTACCCAGAGAAAGGAAATTATCTTAGAGAGAGGGGTCTTGAAATTAGTAGTTTTTAATTTATTAAAATGGTGTTACTCACTTCTCAAAGAGCACAGCCCACCTCTTGTGCCAATCTGGCTTAACTGAACTTACCCTCCTAACGATGGGAAGTGTTATGAAGTCCGCAACCTATTTGAGCCACAAATAGACAAAATTAACACAAGTAAGCCACATTTTTAGAATGTAACTAAAATAGGTTTAGCGGAACTTTTTATTTCGTTTTACGTACTTTTTCAAATGGCAGCCGTTAACTTGGTTAGCTTTAAATTTTGATATAAAACAGAAGAAATTCTTCCATTTTATAAAACGGAAGAAAAAATTCCACATAAAATGGAAGAATATCCTTCCATTTTATAAGAAAGAATTCACTTTACCAAAAAGTCTGCACTGGTGGGAGTGGCCCCCCTACCATGTGTAAAAAGGAATAAATTCTAGTGGAAGATATAAAGTGGAAGAATTTCTTCCGTTTTATATCAAAATTTAAACGTTTATCGAAATAACATATGCTGTTTGAAAAATTAGATAAAACAATCCAATGCGACATTTGGATAGATTGCATCATTTTTCGTTGTTACATAATGTCACACATCAACAATTTGAAGGATAAACCTACATGGAAAGTAGGGTACGAGGTAGAGTTACTATTAAAAGCTAGGGCAAAGGATAAAATATGATTATTAAATAATAAAGTAAAGACTAAAATGAGAAAAAGAGGTCATGATGCGTTCACTCCAAATCGATTGTTATGCAAAATGAGACTTTTCGCTATTACCAAACGATGAATTTAACTATACGATACAATAAAATTTAAGTAAAAATCAAATCAAACATTGTATTTAGACTAACTACAATACAATCGGTAACAACCATCCAAACAAGCTGTTAGTAATTAACATCAACAAAGTGTCAGCCAGATATGGCCTTTGTTTGCTGAGTGCAATTTTGTTTCTTTTGATGAGGTAAGAAGAATTTCAATAAAGATTATTGAGTTTTCCTGAATTCAAATTTCTGCAGCCATTGAAGGATGGATTGTTTTAGTTACTGGGGTTAATGAAGAGACACAAGAAGATGATCTTCATAATGATTTCGGTGAGTTTGGAGAAATCAAGAATTTGCATTTGAATCTGGATCGTCGGACTGGATTTGTCAAGGTAATCCATTTCTCTTCTTTTTCAGACTGTCAAGTAATGTTCTGTTGCTTGTTGCACAATTTCTGCTCATGGGATAAGATGCTGACTGTGGTGGGACTATATGAATAAATGGTCAATAGTGAACACTAGCTGTTGCAAGCGTTTATTTTAGTATTATTGCATTTCCATCAGGTCACTTTTCAATGAAGTGCAATATAGTAACAAGAGCAGAGCAATCCTTGTTAATAGCTTTAGCTAGTTTAGATAATTTAGAAGTGCTTTCTGTAGCACTCACACCTGCATAGTTCTCATTTCTACCTATGTTGGATGTTTGACCATTGAATCATCCACTGTTGACTGGAAACTTTATGTATGCATGGAGCCATGAATATGTCCCATGTTGGAACAGAATCCAAGATTCACTTATCAGAAGTCATTTGTTGTCTTTAGAATGCAATTATTGAGGGTCTTCAAAATAGGATAACTCTTCATGTGTGTGTCCTTCCTTACTGGAGGGAGACATCTTACTTTATGCAATTACTGCTTGTGGTTTGCATTTTCATTAGCTTGGAGCAGGTCCTTTCTATTCTGTTACTTGAAGTGAACTGTTTGTGTAGGGATATGCATTCATAGAATATGAGAGCTTTGAAGAAGCACAAAGAGCTATAAGTGAGAAGGATGGAGCTGAGTTTCTCACACAGACTATACATGTTGATTGGGCATTCAGCAGGGGTCCTTTCAAGAGGAGGAATGCTAGGAGGAGGTATGTCCATAGTTTATCCATGCTAGTGTGTCATTGTTACACGTGGTTTATAGGAAATGAAGCAGAAAATCTGAAGAAATGATGCCTGAATCTATGAAAACACTACCTTTTCAGTTTAATTATTCTTTTCTGAATGAAGTTAAGTAGGTTTTGCTGGTTGTACCTTGTATTTATTTCTTTTTATTTTTAAGCCTGCCGTTATTTGGGGGTTTTTGGGGTACCGGTGGGATGAAGTACTTGGAGAGTTGGACCCTGGAGGCCTCATTTCTCCAGCGATGTGCATAATTCTGAAATGACTCGGACAGTTTCTTCTATATGTTGGCTAATGAGAATCTGTTCGGGGTAATTTCGATATTGAACCTAAAGCAATTCATGAAATCCTTGTCCATTTCCTGCCTGTCATGTCATTTGCGAGGGGATCCTGACGAGTGTACCAAGTCAGAGCTTCTTCCAAAAGACTTCGGATGAACAACTTTATCCTTAACTTCTCGTTCCTCTGTACACTGACTAGCTTGTCGCAGTAGGCTCTCAGATGTGTATGAGGATCACACGTTCTGTCAAATATGTCGAACTTAGGTGGCTTGTACTCCACTGGCATGTCGATGTTTGAGTGGGTACATAAGTCATCATAGGCCAGGCTCTCGTTTCCCCTGGTGATCTGCAAGCTTTTAAGTGCCTTTCTCGTATCGTGGAGTTCTCTGGCTATCAATTCTTCTTCTTTCAATCTGGCATCCTTCTCTATTTCTGTGTACTGATCCACCTCGCATAGGACTCTGGCCTTAATCGGTGCCGCGAACTTAGGAGCTTCAACTGCATATGTGGGTGGCACAGGTAGCTCATAGGAAGGGGGATATGTGCCCCAAGTATGTGCTGCATCGTTGGGTAAGCAGGCATGGTAACAACCTGAGTTGGTAATGAAAGGTTATGTGTAGTTTTTACTGCAGGGGGAGGAGTAGGTGGGAGTTATGCATAAGATGGGACATATGGAGTTTGTCTGGGTAGGTTTGGCAAGTTGGTGGGAGTGACCAGAGGTAGGCCAAAATTGGCAAGGCCGCAAGGGGATTCGGGTGTGGATGTGTATATGAAGGTAAATGTTCAGGAACATGTGATTTCAAGGACGGAAAACGAAGTGGGTGCGGAAAGGTGGTTACAGTGAGTTTGGTTCCGGCACTTGTTGCGGCTCTTCCCTTAATATCTCTAGTTCTTGCTCCAGATGAGCCATTTGTTTGTTGTGTTGTGTATCTGGCCTTTTTTGTGAACCTTTTATATTTTCCACAGGTATTAGGAGGGTTGTAGTGGTGTTTGACTCATGATTCATTGGATTCAGTCATCCTTCTCTGGGACTTTAGGTTGTACTGTAACTCAGTCTGTTTGAGGATCAAGACAAATCAACCTCTGTTTCAACTTTCAGGGGACAAAACTAATTGCAAAAAATATCAAAAGGTGAATAGTTAGTTTTGACGAAGTAATCAAGTGTCTATACAATTAGCATGTTGGGTTAAGCATACAAACAATAATGCCAAGAAAAAATAAGTTGGAACAGACTACCTCTTCACCTTAATCCAGCGTATTGTCGACTTTAAGTTTACTATGTGAAGCCTAGTTTTTTATCCATGCAGAAGGACCTTCTCACTTCTCCTTATCAAAAAAAAAACCTTCTCACTTCTATCACACGATTTGCGTCTGCAGACACCAGCATTACATCTTTTAGTCCTCCTCCTTGCCCTTTTCTGAGGTGGGGGTTCTGTTCTTCAGAAATTGATGGTCAACATAGTATTTTCAAAATGTTGAATTTGGTACTATTTAACCCAAGTTGAGATGGATTGAACTAGATTTCGCATCAATCACGCTAGGGACTGAAAGGACTGACATACTATATTATGCACGATCTTGATTGTTGCCAAATTGGGGTATATTGTGTCTGGTTTGGCTTTCAACTTCTCTTTCTAGTTAAATAATAAATCATCACTAGCCAGCTATGTTACTTTGGATCTTTTAAAAATGTCGATGGGTGTGTGTAGGATCTATTAAAAGTAGTGCATTTTTGAAGAATCTGATATGGGTGCGGCAACATTGTTGGAGGGTCCGAGCGACATAGCTAGCCATACTATAAGGATATATCTGTCCTAAACTTCAATTGCCAAACAGGCACACTTCAGCTTTTCTTGCAAATTGGGCCCATTTCGAAGTTGAACGACAATCACTAAAAGCTAAATTGTCGAAGCAACATCTGATGGTAGACAAATCCAGATTATTCCTTTTTAAGTAAGCAAACAGCCAAAGAGTGTAGCAACCGATGGCCTAATTGCCTGCCTCATTTTTCTAGCGTAGAATGTGAGATATGCACGTAAAATCTATTTATAGTATTGGTTATATGATTGAATGCTGATGACTAAAAGGTGTTAAAGGGGGAGAGGTAGGATAGACCTAAAATCTCGTGAAAGTCTTCTCAAAAGACTTGCAATGTCTTGGAATTCTTACAATCTTAGCAAACAACAGAATGCAATGGAAGCAAAAGATCAAATATATGGGATTAAGGCTTATATCTTGTTTGGCCAAACATCTAAAATCAACTTATTTTGGGAAGTATTTTTTCTTCTTTTAAAAAATGCTTTTAAAGAAGCACTTTTGGTGAGAAGCAATCTATGTTTGGCTAATCAATTTGAAAAACATTTTTTTAAGCAATTAGTATCTGACCAAGCTTTTTAAAAGTGCTTTTAAGAGCCTGTATTGATTGGCTTATTTTAAGTGCTTTTAAGCCAAAATAACTTCTAAGCAATTTTGTAGTGTTTGGGTATAATAAAGAAGTGCTTTTGAACACGTTATTAAGCCAAAATAACAAAAATAAGCCAATCCTATCTGATGACTTTTAGATTATAAGTCCATCCAAACATGCTCTAGCCTCTAAGTGTATTTTCTCATAAGTGTTTTCGGAGAAAAACTACTTTTTTACCTTGTGAAAAACAACTTCTGTTGCTCCTTAAAATCACTTAGTTTCCCCAAAAAGTTTGGCCAAACCCCTATGTTTTTAAAATACACACTTTTGGCCTCCTAAAAACTTGGCCAAACAGGCTATAAGTCATGTAGGTTCACTTACATCAAGTGCCATGTTTGTTAGTAATCTTTGTAGCCTATCCAGAGTTTGGTATGTCAAAAAAAAATACAGTGAGTTCTAGTTTTGGAGAAACCCAAACTAAGGAGTATCAGGATGAAACATATCCAAGTGGAGCGAAAACATAAACTGAGGATTCATGCAGCCCACCCTAACTTGTTTGAGTTAGAAGCTTAGCTGCTGTGTTTATGTGGACATTGTTGAACTTTTTCTCTCAGTTTGGTGAAGGAATCTTTGTAAGTAGGATCTTCAGTTCCTCCCAACAACACACTGAAAATAAAGTTGAAAAAATTAGAGACGGAAATCAGATAGCATAGTTAATGATTTCCTCAGCGAGTTAATGTCTTCTGAGTTTGTAAGGAGCCCTTAGAATCAAGGACGTGGAAGTTTTTTCATTTATATCAAAATAGAAAAAGAATATTAGAAAATACTCCTTTTATGTTTGTATTTGTGAAATTTTGTCAGGTTATGAGTCGTTGAAGTATTATCTAAAACACAGTGGATCCTTATTTGATTCTTATTTCTGCAGATCGCCACATGGCCATCGTTCTAGAAGTCCCAGGCGGAGATTCTAATAATCAGTGTGCAAATGTAATGGTCATGCGGCTTACTTGCAGTTTTTCCCAACTTGTTTGATCCTGTCCTGAATTTTGTGTATGATATTACTTCACTCACTCTCAGTTTTCTCCAATTTGCCTATCTTAACTACCATGTGCAGACGGTATTCAGAGCTTTCCCTGCAGCATTGCATTTTCATATTGGCCTCTGAGATATCTAGGTTCTGTTTTATTCGTGCAGAATATTCAGCACTTCCTAGCATTATTTGAGATTGATCTTTTTTCCTTGTGAATGGGATGTTAGTAGGATTTGAGTTTTGCAAAAAATGTCTCTTAAGTTGTGTTTTCTTAGATTTCTCTTGAGGTGGATTCACATTATCTATTATGGTCTAAGCAATACTACTACTCTTTTGGGAACCTCTACTTGAGTTTCCTATTAGTTAACTCCCTCCGCCATACATTATTTCAAAAAAATAAATTAGCGATAAATAAATTTTACAGTTGAGCAAAAAAAAATCTATCGCTAACTTTCTTATGAGATTGGGTGAGGAAATCAGAAAATTCCTCTGGCGTTATGACCTTTACCTCAACACTTCGAATTATTGAAAAGTTTGTAGCTACGAACAATTTAGAGACAATGTCATCGTTGATTTCAGTTTTTTTAAAAGTGTCATTTTAACTGTCACTTTAATTCTTTTTACGATCATATAGGAAAATGCAAAATGCAAGGTATAATTTACAGAGTTCCCTATTCCTATTATATCTTCTTGCTCTTGAATGCTATGTCATTAATGTTATTGTTGGAAACAATTAATTTTTCTTTTTATTCCATTTAGTTATTTTTATCTTTTCTTTTATAGTTTTTTTAAAAAAGAATGTCTCTTTCCTTTTTAGCAACTCTATAATTTCAACTTTTTCACATAACATATTCAAAATTATAAAATTACAAATCATTTTAATATATTTAACATATCTTTAATTTAAAAATAACAAAATTCAAAAGTCGGAGTGCGGTATGTGGTTGGTGGCAGACCAGTGGAAGAATAGGACAATTAGATAATCCAGGGAGTCCAATTTCCCTTCGTAGTCTTCGATTTAATTACTAATCGTTACCATTTAGGGGAGCAAAAACACTTAAATAACAGCTAAGCTTAGAACCCTATAAATGTACTAGCAATGATAACTTAAATCTCACAATTACTCAAATTAATAATAATTCAATTTAAGATGGCTAAATTTCAAATCTTAACCATGCTGCTGTTTTGCTTCCTCCTCCTCACATTAAAGGGTATGCAATAAACCATCTTTTTAATATATAAATATATACAAGTCTTAATGTTTTTTATTATTGTTGTTGTTGTTATTATCATCGTTATCATCATTGTTGTTAAGTTTCTTCATCTTACAAAGATAATAGGATAAAATTATTTCAAAGTGTACAAGTTTTTACTTTTCTAAAAAAAACTATCATATGTTTCAATTTTTCTGTTTTACTTTCTATTTTAATCAAAAAGAAAATATTACTTTTATAATTGGTAACTCTTTAATTTTATCATCCCACATAACATATTTAAGATCACAAAATTAACATTTGATCATGTGGTGTAGCCAATATCGATTTTACAAAAACAGATATACTCTCTCGTTTCTATTTATGTGTCATCCTTACTAAAAATAGATGGTTCTTAATAATTGTCATTTCACAAAATCAATACATAAATAACATTATTCTTCCATTTTTACCCTTGAGAGTTATTAGCTCTGAAAGTATAAATTTTGACTAACACTGAAAAACTAAATAACTAATTCATATCCATTTATGATAGTTTGAGGGTATATTTAGATGACTTTGATTTTTTATTTTTTTTGATCTTGTGTAGAAATAACAAATGTGGGAGCATCTAGTAATGGCTGCCAAATGTTTAGTCGAACATTTCGAGGTAGTTGCCTTGGTCGAGAACAGGAGTGTGAAGATCAATGCACTAATTTCGAACATACTCTTCGTGGACAATGTCATTTTGAATATTTATGGGGATATCTTTGCTTTTGCTACGTTTGCTGAATGGACAAATTAATTAGTATATATTTACTCGTTAGATAGAAAATAAAGATAACCACTTTGTTGCATTTTGATTTCTTGTTGAAATAAGTGTATGTTATCTGGATTTGAGAATGATATATATAGTATGTTAAACGTATATGTACTTGAGTGTTTATATTAATTCAATAAATACATATTTTTATACTCCATTAACAATTAAATGATCACTTTCCAGTTTGGTCAAATGACACTCCCGTAGGAATGTTGGGACAGCCACAAATGTATCCATCACAAGGGCTTCACGAGGATCCTGCAAAAGGAAAGAAATAGAATGGAGAAGGGAAGAGTGAGACAGGTTAGCTTGCAACTCATGATCCTTAAGGATCAATGCACTTTCGACTCCCACATCTTTCCTTATCTCTTTATGCTCATCCAATCACAACTTTGCCTTTCCCTTCAACTTCCTCTTTTCTCCTTCTCCTTGGGCCTCAGCCTCCACATGTCTCTCCTCCTTTTTCCTTTTATCCCTCAACTTATCCATCTTTCGATACAACTCTATGACTTGGGATGGTGACATTGGCTTAAGGACATATTTACAACCCATCGACATGACGGTATAGGTGTTGTGCCTTCCATCATGTATTGACGCGTGGCTGTGTTGTCAAGGCCTCCCGAGTAGTACATGACTAGCTTGCATGGGAATCACATCACAAATAACAGCATCATGATATTTCCCAATTTGGAACTTAATCAACACCTGTTCATGTACCCTCAATTCCTCCTCATTTAACCAATGAAGTGTGTATGGTTTAGCATACTTAGTGGTAGGAAGCTTCAAGTAGTCCACCACGGCAGTGTTGGCAAGGTTGGCACAAATTCCACTATCAATGATCAAGACACATACTTGGTTCTGGATAAGGCACTTGGAATAGAAGATATTCTCCCTTTGCTCGTGATTGATCATGGCCTTCCTCGGTATAGTTCGCCTTACCACATATGATGGTAGTGTGAACTCCTTTTCTTCGGACCAAGTCTCATCCATTCGTGACAGCCCATCCTCTATGGTAGTTAAACGCTCATGCATGCGCCCCATCATCCGACTTACATCCATGGTCACTTTCATGATAGTTTCCAAAGTAACCTTCCCCTTAGGTGGGTGGGTTTCACTTCCGGTTGCCATGGTACCTAACAATTAAGACAACTCAACAAAAACATCACACAACGTTTGCGTTAGTAAAACGAACTCACAATCACTCGTGTTTACACACCTTTGATTGCCTCTCAAACTGGTGCGGCTAATGTTGAAGATTGCTTATACTCGGTCGATCACAAGGTCTCAATTTCTACTCTTGGCCGGAGTGGAATTTTGTTTCAAGAAGAACGGATGACTCGATTAAAGCAAACGGACTTGAGTCTAGAAGTTATCTACGAAGTAAAACGAATAAAAGCACAAAAAGAAAAGGCACTAACAAAGAAGTGAATTCAGGAACCAATAGTCAACAAGTAGAGTAATTACGAGTTGAAAATCAGTTAAGGATTCTTGTCTACGAACTAGAATCAAAGAAAGGAAACTAGATATTAGAACCTGAGATTAGAAAAGGTCATAAGATGAGTTTCCCACTGCCAAATGGCTTGTTTTCTTCGCCTAATGTGAAGGTCAGCTCGCCAACTTGAAGATTGACTCACCAAACTTGACAATCGGAAAAGGCAAATCGGCGATCTGGGTGGAGGTTTGGCGATGCACCGAGTGGATTCGGCGACCAAGGTTGAGCTCGCCGAAATTTCCAGTGTTTTCACCAAAATGAGGTCCAACTCGGTGACCTAGCTGCCCAAAGGGCGAGGCGCCGAGTGGAATGGGCAATCCAAGTCAGGATTCGCCCAAATTCCTCAAGTTGCAACTGCAAGGCTCCGGAAATTTAACCTTGGTGGTCCCCCTCTCTTCCTTGGCCTTTTGTATTTACCTTTTTTGGTAAATTCTCTTTTATACAAACACCTTTGAACTTTCTCTTTCTTCCTTTTTGGATCAAACTCTTTCTCTTTCAAATATTTCCTTCTTGAAGATTTGAATGTTCTTCAAGAACAACAATGAAGACCCAAAAATAAACCCTAAAGATTTTTAGCTTGAAATTTCACGAAATTCAAGATACACGCTCTCTTAGATATAGGGAACAAACCCCAATACTTTTTAGCACTTAATTCCTTGCCAAACCTTCCAAATTTTAAAACCCACTTCGTTTTATTTAAAACTTCTTCAATCAATAATGGTGGATTCTTCAATCGTGATCCAAACCCTTTCAAATCTTAGCCCTAGACTCGAAATAGGTTAGGGAACACTAATCTAACCTTGGAAGCACCAAAGAAGACTCAAATCAACAAGACCCATTTCTGAAATTTCTCAAAAATGAGTTGAGCACTTTTTTTTTGTTTTCATAACAAACCCAAGACTAGAATTGTAAAGACGATACTAAGCTTGACTCTGATACCAAATGATATAATTCTCACAAGAAGAATCACAACAAACAGAAGAAAACAAGAAAGATAGAAGAAGAGACACAAGAAGAGGAACAATTGGCAACTAAATGATGTATTAAATCCTAAAACCTCCAATTACAATCCCTAAACAAGCACCTAATTCGGATAAATAGATAGACATACAAAGAGGAAACAAAAAGCAATCAAAGGGTATATTAAACCCAATGACCTCGATCCATTAATCCTACAATAGCACCTCTTAAAAAGAAAAGCTTATCAATGACCTTTTACAATCCGATATCCCAAGCAACCCTCGTTTCTAAACAATGTTCAACAAAAGCTTACCAAGCTTTCAACACTCACACAAGGAGTTCAATTTATCATTCATCAATATTTAAAATAGTCTAACCCTAAAATGAACCCCTAAATGACTATTTATAGTTTTAGGACTTATTACATAGATGGACCCAAAAGTGACCCAAAAATGGGCCAATCGGTGAGCCAAGTTGGGCTTGCCAAATGGCTCAGCGATCCGCTAAATAAGTTTGGCGAGAACCCTGCTCATTGGTTTCTCCTTGGATGTCTTGCTGTAACTTTCGGTGATCTGGGGTTCAAAGGGCGGTGCGCCGAATGTCCTCTATGCTCGCCGAATGGGCAGCCTTTCTCTGCAGCTCTTTGGATCAGTCGGTGATCCTAGAACCCTCGCCAAAGGGGTTCGGCGAATCACCAAAGTGGCTGGCACCTCGCCGAATAGAGCTAACACTTTCCTTTGCTCTTCCTTGCCTCGTTGGACCTCCCACGCTCCAAACTATCATCCACAAAGGGTGTTGCTCAGCTG